AGATGGCTTACGGAACCCGAAGGTTCATCACCGAATTAACCAAAGCCCTCCACCGGACCCTGTCCTGGGCCAACAAAATCCAGTCTCCTTCAACTCCTATCTCCCATAGATCCCGCCTGAGATTATCCTCCCATCTACGTCTAGGTCTCCTCAGCGGTCTCTTCCCCTCAGGCTTCCCAAATAGTGGACCCAACCAACTAGATGGCTTACGGAACCCGAAGGTTCATCACCGAATTAACCAAAGCCCTCCACCGGACCAACAAAATCCAGTCTCCTTCAACTCCTATCTCCCATAGATCCCGCCTGAGATTATCCTCCCATCTACGTCTAGGTCTCCCCAGGGGTCTCTTCCCCTCAGGCTTCCCTCTTGCCCCATCCATGCGCGCTACATGCCCAGCCCATCTCATTCTTCTGGAATTAATCACCCTGACAATATTGGGTGAGGAGTACAGATTTTTAAGTTCGTCATTATGCAGTTTTCTCCACGCCCCATCGTCTTCTCTCCTAGGCCCAAATATCCTCCTCAACACCCGATTCTCAAACACCTGCAATCTGTGTTCCTCCCTCTGAGTAGGAGTCCATCTCTCGCAAAGAATTCAGGTACGTAAATATGAACATCCGCCGAACATCACCCGGCCTCTGCAAGCGCCTGAATAAGTTGCTCCTGTGAAACGAAAAAGTGGATACAATAAAAATTCGCAGATCCTCCGTTGCCGGCGGGCGTCCACACGCCGTCGTCATTCGTCAGTATTATTTGCACAGATTAGCGACATTCTTCGTGGATTGAACCCCCCATCACATTTGCATGACCTCTCAATCTGAGGACGGCGAGTTTGTTGGGTGTCCCGTCTTAACCGGCGATAGCTGAAGCAGAACCCACGCCATCTGTTGCGTCACCCCATGTGGCTGCGAGGGGATGCACGCCTTTCCACCCCCATTCCATCCCCGCAGTATGAGAAACTCCGCGATCAATAAATAGTCCGGGCTTATCGTTGGCACGGAGAACAGGCGAACGGTCAACAACCAGCTAACTCAAGGCCGGCGGTAAATACGCGCTTTTTGCGTCTCATTTCTCCTACGTACATCACAGACACCGTGCCACGGTGGTCTAGCGGTTAGAACGCTGGCCTTGTAATCCTGG